GGGTAACTGTGTATTTGTGTTTATATGGTACCCCTGTAATACACCCCGGCCAGTGTAGCTGCTGTCACTTTTGAAATTATTAGAGTGGGATTATTATGTAATCACACAATACACAATCACACAACTAACCTGTTGATAATAAATGCACTGATACATTAATGAAGGCTTTTTATATTAGAGCATTTAACTGTTCTGTAAAGAGACTAGGGCATGTTATATACTACAGTGAATCATCAACTGTCACCTTATGGGTGGGAACTGAAAACAAGTTAAACACAAAGTGCACACGTTTGCACTTCATTTGGGCTTCACTGTGTCTCACATGCTTTGTATAAAGTTAAATCTAACTTGATCAAAAGCAGGCTGGGGGTGTTATTGCCATATGTCTGTGAGATGTTAGCATACAATATGCAAAACAGGTATTACACTTGAAATAGACAAACAGAAGGAGAGAAATGATGAAGGCAAGGTGTCTTTCCTGTGCAGAGAAGCCCCATTAGCTCTGCTGATTTTAGCCTCTCGCTCATTACTATTTTAATAATGGTCTCGACTGTATAATATTGCCTGAGTAATAAAAACTGATGAACTGCAAAATAAAGAACAGACCATAAGTGGCTGGTTGGGTTCTCATTAGGTTAATTTGTTGTTTGTTGTGTTTTGTTACCTTTGACGAGGCAAACAGGATGAGTCACGATGCCACCATTTATAACTCTCCCACAACAAATCATTTTGAAGTAGTACCTCACCTTCCGAAGCATGAATATTTTACCATATTACTGCTCTTTATCTAATAGTAGTTAATAATTAAACTTAATTCAATTGCATAAAAGTTGCAGAAGGCATGCAAGTGCTGTGATCACAGCACTACATACTGCATAGGTCAGGAGAATGCTTCCATAGCTGCTATGTAGATCAGCAATCAAGCTGGACCTCCACACTGTAAATTGTTAAATGTTTTTTTATATAGTGTTGACTTTATAAATAGATCAGTTTCACAGGGTACTCACAGACAGACAAAGAAATCAAACTACCACCACCCCTAACTCAGGGGTTCGGTTTTGGATGATCAGGTTCAGCTGAATTCAGTATGCGCTTTTGGCTGTGTAATGACAGAGTTGGCCAATTAAATTCCAGGAGGGTACGCGTGATAGGGGTGCTGTGAAATGAGAGTGAGATCAGGCCTGAAGAAAAACTATGTTCTTTGAATGAACATCTGCATCTGCAAACAAAGTGCATCTTGTAATGTGCCATCCTGTGAAAACCTATCTTGGAGTGTGCCCACTGTTCTGACATCAAGGTGTAAATTATGTTTGGTAAATGGGACACATCTCCTAGTCAGCATGAGGCATTATTGTGGCCTAAATTGAAGCTGAGTGAGTTAATGGCTTTTGTTTTCCAGCCTTTTTGCATCTGAATATATGTGTGTGGGAGGGTGGGTGTGTATGAATTGGTTTTGGGCATGCATCCACAAGCTGTAGTCTCTGTTCAACACATTTCCTGGCTGACAACATTGTTGCAAGCAGTGAATACAAGCACATAAGTTTGGTTGTTTAGTTCATGGTTCTACGTTTGACCTGTGAGGAAAGGTGCCTTAAAGCAGTATTAGATATTTTGGACTATTAGGGAACAGCAGAACAAGCTTTAAACAAAACATAGGCTGTCTGAAATCACTCTTTAAATACTAGTGCACTACATGTATCCATCTCCATTTGATTTGAGTGCCCAAATTTTGTCTCTGCACCTGTCTGTGATGACGCAATATGACAGTGATTAAAAAGTGTCCAAAATCTGAGTTTACCTGTCATAATAGAATAATTTGGTGTGATTGAGGGTCCATAATGTAGTGAGGAATAAGGGAGTGAGAGTGATTCTGGACACACTTGTTGGCTTATTATTATTACCTTATGTGCCAGCATGTCAGTTGCCTATTGACACATCCAATAGGCAAGTTGCAGCATTAGCCTGTCAAGCTTCCAGCCGTTTGACATATGAATATAAATCCAATATACACTTTCCTTGTAAGCACAATATTATAACTGCTTTAAAGGTATGGTTACAGTGACATATGTGGACTCCTTAGCAATAATCACACAGCATTTTAGAGATTCATAGACTTTTAACCCTTTTCTACTTAAAAAAATAAAGATATATTGAATTATTTTGCTGAAATCTAGCTGTGTTGTTACAAGTCAACCTGAGACGGCAGAAAAAATGGTCAGCATTGTACAGTCCTTCTAGGATTTCACAGGCTGTTTTTGGGATTGTTGAAATAGCCTACCTGATTTCATGGCAGCTTTTCTAAAATTTCTGTCCCCGTGAGCAGCTTTTCTCCTTCTCCCTCTGTCTGGTTAGCACAAGCTAACACAGCACAACGTGATCTCATCACTACTCATCTTATTTTGTCGCTTGGGCAGAAGCCTGGCAGCAGCAGTCAACATCAGACACCGAGCTGTTAATCTCACACTGAGACGGCTCAACTCGACCATTGTTAAAACTGTTAATAATACTGTTAATCATTTTTTTTTAAATGTAGAGAGAGAGAGAGGGGCCGGGCAAATCAATACGCTGCATGCAGCACTACTACTACTGCTGCATAAATACATACAGATGAAAGGTATCCATGGTTTGCAGAAATGTACGATTCCTACGTTATTTCCTGTTGATTGGGTTGTACAAGTTCTCTTGTATAATAAAGGAATAGCAGGGGGAATAGAGCCACTGTTGTCACCAGAAAGTTGGATGTTATCACATTAAAGCTGCTCAGAACAATTCATGGTTTTGGATCAGGATTTGGTCTCTCGCCAGTAGAAAAGCCATATCTGTGACCTTTTGGCACCTCTTAGCAGCAGCGTATGGGACTCTCCGTGTCTTCAATAGTTGGATCACACATTTATTCTCACTTGCTCTTCTTTTCCTGCCTGTCTCACGCTGGCAGAATTACAGATAAAGCATGCTTACATGACACACAATATTAGAGACTCATACACACAAGCAGTCACGCATTACTCATTTGAATTCCTCCAGCAGAAATATGTCTGATGTGTTTAATTGGCCACTGGGGAGCTATTGGATGGACTTTTCTTTCTCTATCTCTCTGTCTCTATCTTTTCTTTCTCTCACTATCTTTGTCTCATGCTCTTCTTCTCCTTCTCTTCCTCTCTCCCCCTCACATCTAGCATTCAGCCTGCCCCCCTTCCCTCTGTTTGACTGCTGATGAAAGCCCCAAACTCGCTGAAAACAAAGATTCTTAATTCAGTCTCACCACTGACAATACTCTTGTGCAAGGGAAGGCAGAATACAATGAATTTCAATCACTTAATTCGAAGTAGGTTGACATCTCAAATTAATTTCCTTTGGGAATTTCTCTTTGACTTCCCCATTTAAATGTGTCACTTGCTATATTAAGGGAATATATTATCAGCAAAATTATTTCTGCAATCCCAGACCTGACATCCATTGACATGACAACAGATTAAACAGTTATTGTTTCATTTTAGATGAAGTAAATTGTATTTGTATCTCCAATATACATCTTTCAAGAGAGGTCACAATTGCTCTTGGGAATTTTAATGAGTTTCCCAGCTCAATGACGCCAAGGCACGATTTATACAAAACTAAACTAACCACTTGCCTGCCCATGCAGTGACATTGCCTGTTTGTGATGCTTAGGATGGTTCCAGAAACCTTATGGATAATAAAAAGCAAATCATGCCTCTCAGCCAAGTAATGAAAGTCATTAATTAATGTCAGCAGTTCAAAGGGTAGCACTATTTGTGCTGTTAACTTAAACGTTAAAGAACACAATTTTACCTAATGAACCATAGTGAATGTCCCCTTGACCCCTGTTGGAAAGCGTCGCTGACAATGTCGTTACTGTATGTCCTCACCAGGTTTTAATTTCCTATGCTGGGAACATGCTGCTCCTGTGAACCTTTTGAGTTGTTCCTCAATATGCAAATTCCCATCTGGCCTGATTATCTCTGTGACTCTTTGTCAGTTCCCGAGACCTCTGGGAAAACAAGTCATCTGTGATTTCATCTCCAGTGCAAAAAAGTTTCCAACTACTTTGTTAACCTCTAAAAACCTCAGTTCACAGACCCCACCAAACTGTATAATAAATTCTAATTATAAAGTATCAACATAAAGTTTCCTCAGATTCAGAATGTGTCAGGATGAATGTCAAGGAATGTGCTTAAAATGATGCAGAGGGCACGTCGGAATATTAATCTAAACCATTAAATTTAATGTAGTGATGTAGCCATAAAAACTGTGTCTAGTGTTTCAATATTTCACTCAGTAAGTATCATATAGAGCAGGCTCGTTAAAGTGTATATACTATATTTGATAGTGTCGTACGTTTTGTAAAAATATCTAAAAGCTACTTATGATCAAGGGATTTCTGGATAATCTAGCACAACATACAGTTGAATCAACACCTGTCGGAAAAAGTTCAAATAAAACCTGAACATTATAACCTTCAAGAAAGGTGGATTTATTGCAGGACTGTTGTATTATTGTATTAGACCGGGCAGTCTGGCAGTTGGGCCAACTGAGGCCCATAGACCGATGTTAAGTGTTCCCTTATATTCACCCTGCAGTGGGGCACTGCTACGAGTCCATGAACGATGCAAATGTCTGTGGACAGTTCACATATCTGTTACAAGAGCAGGTCCGTTAAGTGTCTGTTATCTAGACTGCCGAAGCCAGGTGAACAGGTGAAGTGAAGATAACGTTGACAGTAGGCTACAGGTTACAGACAGGCACCTCAGATCCTGGTATTTGCTCCTGCTGTACTTCACCACTGTTTTGGAGGGAGGAAATATTGAGAGCAACACACAAACTAGCTTTAAAAGTGATGCATTTTCTTTTTGAATGTGCAGTGGCTCTAATTAATGCCAATGTAAAGGTTGGTTCATTTGGATTTGGGAAAGTTACAAATATTTGGAAAATCCGAATAAATGTTCAATATTTAAAGAAACTTTAGAGTGTTAAATTTGAGAATGGAATTTGGTGTGGTGGTAGGTGGAAGACTGAACCCTTCCCCCCAGCCCATCTGCCAGGCCAAGGCAGTCAACCTAAGAGAAACACTGTAAGCGGACCATGCCCAACATATACTGGTGGCCTGCCTAGGGATGGGTGATATGGCCTTAAAATAATATCACGATATTTCAGGGGATTTTTGCGATAACGATATTCTTGACGATATGACAATTGGTAAAAAAATATTTATATATATCTATATTTCATTATTAATAGAAGAAAATAGAATTGCATCAGAATAAGTGAGATAGTTGTACATGTCAACCTAACAGTTTGCCTTAAAATATTCAGTCAAAACTAAACAAAATAATCTCTAATTTCTTTTGTTTGTAAACAACAACAGTAACTCAATGAGTCATTTTCAGTATGTAAAGAATATTATTATCAAAAAAATACCCTGAAATATTGTGATATTGTTTGAGGGATATATCACCCCTAGTAGGAACTATGCAGGCGGAACTAATATGTTTCATAAACCAGTAAATGGAAGAGTTACCTAACAGTGGACATTTTTTTGCTAGGTGGCAGACATGGCCATAGCAAAGGAGAGCAAATTCGACAGCGAGGGCCGCCACTTTCAGGAGTGATGGAAACTTGAGTACTTTCTCACCGAAACATGAAAAAGTTGCATTGCGTCTCATTTGCATGTGATTTATTTGTTTATTTTTAATAACTCATACAATGTGAGAAGCAGCTGCCCCCCAGGTATTTTTTATATTACGTAATCTAGCCCCCTTTTAAAGTGTTTTTGACACCTCTTTATTGCTGAATTAGTTTTAGCTAGGTGTACCTAATAAACTTGGATCTGAGTGTATATGAAATTTATAACATAAGACATTTTCAGACATCTAATTGTTGTGTAAGGATTGGGCATCCAGTCTTACAGTGTTAATCATTTCAGGCCAGGAGACTTTACTCTGAAGTGATCTTTTGCCATAGGACCCAGGCGCCTCTAATTATAGTCATGCTGACAGCACTAAACTAGGAAATTGCACTCAGCAATTGCAGAGCTTCAGATTATTCAAAATGCTGCTGCCGGGATCTTGGCAAAGACAAAAAATTAGAGACCACGTAATAACACCCATCCTATTAGACTTACAGTGGCTTGTCATGTCAGCTAAAATTGATTTGAAAGCCGATTGAATTATCAGATGTTAAATCATTATCTGATTTTGGAGATTTTAATGGATGAGTCCCTTCACAGATTTGTGACTGCCTGTGATTTTACACTTCAGCTCTTCCTCTGATTGAGCCACACTCTAAATGTATATCCTGCGCACATCCAAGAAAGACACAGGCTGGGAATCATAGAAGGGCAGACACAGTTTACACTTAAAACAGGAAGGTAAAGTCCTGCAGTACCTCCTGTCTCATCTTACCATTTGTCATTTATTTATTTCCTCTTTTTAAAGTTTAAATCTTTTTATGCGCGCATGCATTTCTATTTATTGGTGCCGTTTGATGAATTCTGTCAAATTAGCATGAAAGGTGTTGGGAAGATATAAAATATGAACATCTTAAAATTACTCATGTTTATGGTTTGGTTTTGAGAGCTGGCTTTTCCATACCACGAGTATTTTTAACAACGCAAATAAAAGCTTTAGTGATCATAATTTATGCAACAAAATTATATTTATGCAATAAAATGAATCCACGGCTAACCTTTTGCTGAATCAGGAAATGATCTCTGCCACAGGACAAACTGCCAGATCAGATTTATCTGTTATCTGTTGGCTGTTCCATCTTCTGCGATGGGAAGATTTGTTGCTCTTCTGTTTTATATCAGTCTAAACTGAATATGTTTGGATTTTGAAATAATGGATGGATAACATAAGAAATCTTAATTAGCTTTGACTAGGGGAGTGGTTGGTCTTTTTACTACTTTGTGATGTGTTGCAGACATAGACTGTAAAAATAATGGACATAGCTACCGTTACGACACCCATTAGTTTGTGAACTTCCTTTCTGAAGCCTTGAGTTTGGCTGTCACCATTTTGTTTCTTTGGAGCTCTCTCCCATATTTGGGAGAGAGGCTGGCGCTGTGAGGAGCAAGGGTTGGCTCTTACTGAGAAATCAAGGACACTATCATCAGACAGCCTGTCACTTAAATCAGCCTGCCCCTAATTGTGCGCAGTGAGTTATATAGAAATTCACCCCTCATACAGTTGATGGGTAAATTAGCTATAGAGACCCAAACTGTTTTTTTTTTTACCAGGCTGTGAACATGTTTATTTCTGCTGTGAAGCTGGGCATTTTAACATGGGAGTCTATGGGGACTGAGCCAGCCTCAAGTGACCATTAGAGGAACTGCAGCTTTTGACACCTCATTTTTTGAGCCCCAGTGGTTGCTGCTTGGTTACTGACCAAACAGTTTATTTGACAAAAATAATTATAAATAAAATTATAAATAAATTGGCAAATGAATCATATTGTTGCATGGCTAAAATGTTGGATTCCATTGATGTATTTCATACTTTAAATTCCATAATGCGCTTTCAGCTTCCAAACCTGCTTTATTGATAATTATGTGATATTTAGCTGTTCCATAATGTCTGCCCATTTCTAAAAAAGCCACTTAATTCCATGCCAAAATCCAAAAAAATCATTTTCAACTGTTGAGTATACAGAAGTGTTATAATGCACTGTGCAGTCAAATAAGATGACTGCATTTGCTAGATCAGTGCTTTCAAAGGTTTTCTGTCTTCCCTTATGAAGCCCAGCAGACAATTGATTCTGCCAACCAGTAAATCAATGTGCAAAAAAAAAAAGTAAAAATAAACTTTTTCTAAAACACATTGTTTCCCAAATATCATGGTAAAATGAGCTTTCTGATGATTTTTTAAGATAGATTTTTGGGACTTTTTCCTTGCAGCAGGTATGATCCGTCACTCCCAGGAAAATGATAGTTTCAGATGTGGTTATAAATTTTAGTAAATACACTGAAGAATGTGATCATGCTGGTTGGGAAACATTGTGAGTATATCAGAATGTAAATCGCACTAAAAAAAAAGATACATATTAAATATGAAAAACACATCGTTGGGACTTGTGGATAGAGTTAGGAAGAAGGAGGAACATGAAATTGTGTAATGAAGCTGTTTTTGCCAGTTACATTTTAAGGAGTGGATTTTTACAGTAATTTTGTGTAATCAGAGAGGCTGTATGGCACAATTAACTGAGGGCAGGAATGAAAGAATCATCTCTTTCTATAGGATACAGATAGTGGGTTTCCATGGCTACAGCCCAGTTGCAGAGCGAGGCTTTCTGCTTGCAGTTCATAAAAATGGAGACACTTGAATTCGGTGATAAATAACCCATTATCTTCTTTTCAAATTGGCTGCTCTTTGACAGTGTCTGGGATTATTTTCTGATCTGGCTATATTTCATTTCATGCTTTCATTTTCTCTCCTCACTGTGTCGTTCGAAGCTGGTCATGACTTCTTCTGTGTTTCCAGATGGCAAGTACTTTCATAGTTAGGGGCGTTTGTCTCAGATACATTGAAGCAGAGACATTAGATCCAGGTTGTTGCTGAATGTCTTTCTTTAAGTGGTTTTCTGTAACACAAGTCCAGAGTCTCTGCTAAAGCTTCAAATGTAGTCATGTTTTCAGACAGGAGACTTTGCAAAAGTCTTGGATATTAAAGGCAGTGATTGTGAATGAGTAAGGCTCAGGCGTTGAAATATCCCTAGATTTAAGCATCAACCAGTGAACATCTTCGTGTTTTAATTTGTCTTTACTTGGCACGAAATATTTTCTTTTTGTCTGAGGAACAGGACAGTCTTTTGTGGTAGGTTCATATCTTTTGTTTTGTAATGCATTTAGCATATATCTGTCTTTGTGTTGCATAAGTTATGGTTTTTGCAAATGTTTGCAAATTAAAGTAAAGTAAAGCAAAATAGTCATATCAGTCAATATTGAGACTAATGGCCATGGATGGCAGCAAAATGTAAAACTGTAATTCCACAGCAAAATTGATTCATCCGACAGAATTGCTGTGATTAATAGATTCACTGCACAAAATTTTTGCACAAAGTTCAAACTTGGTGTACTTTTACCAGACTGGCTAGTGTGTTAGCTCACCAGCCACTGTAGTTCACCATCTGGCAATGGAAGTAGTCCCTACATGCCTTTGTCATCATAGGTTTTATGTCTTGAAAAGACTTGTGGGAGATTTCTTACTGTGTCACTGTCTGGTGTGATTAAGCCCTTACATTAAAAAACACAGGTGACATCAGGCTTGGGCGATATGACATGATTATGGTTGAACACAAGCGGCGACCCCCATGGCCGAAAAATAGGGTTGGGTTGGTATGAGAAAAAAAAAACGGTCCGGTTTTTGTGAAAAAACGCATCGGTAATACCAGATTTTCGCCACTTGGGGGCGCAATTGACTCATTTAAAATAAAAAACGACCTTAGGACAACAGAGTGACAGTAACATGTTGTTTCTTTTATTCCTTACAAATAAATTTGCAGGTTTAGCTTATTCAGTCAGTGCAAACAAGGGTTGCCTCCTTAGTCTGGCTCAAAGCCAAAGTGTTGCCATATTGGCGCATTCCTTGATTTCTTCGAGACTAAATTGTCCGCCATAATCGACTCCCCGTCACTGTTAAAAAAAACTCCAGGCTACAGTAGAGCCCTTGGCGCATGCGCACTCGCACCCCCTAGCTCAGTCCCCGCCCCTTCCCCTCCCCCCTCTCTCTCCTGCTTGCTGTGCGCTTGGTGAAGAGGCAGACACAGGTGCTCACAGACTTGGGCGTACTATAAGCGGAGCGGACTCCACGAGGAATGTCCGCAGTCATTCAGGCGTCCATAGTCGAGCGCACTTCCGCCTTGTAGTTTCCTGTAAAAATGTCCGTGAAAAATCCCTGCGATGTGAAAAATACATGCCGAGCAGTCTTTTGTGTGACACGTTCCACCGTAAAATGACGCATGCGGTCCAGTTGGTCTCAAAAAAAAAAAAAAAAAAAAAAAAAAAACCCCGGTCCAAGACGGAGTACTGAACCAAACTGATAATACCGAGAACCGACCCAACCCTACTGAAAAATG